GATTTCCTCTTTGTTTGTTAACATATCAATCGAAATGTCCAAATTATTAACCCAATGCTGTTCCATTTGATGCGCTATCGTTTTAATAAAATTAGGATAATTAAATGACAGTTTTTAAAAGTGGATTGAATATAATTCCCATCACGTGGTTTGTCTTCCTTTTCATAAGAAAAATGTACATATTAAGGAATTTATAAAGGGAATCTTCATGACATGTACAGTAACAGGACTTCCAAGAACGTCTCGAAAATATTTTATAAAGAGAGCTAGTTCTGGCAAATATTCCACTGCAATAATTATGATGTACGTGGCTGCCACTTAAATATGATTTTTGTGATTAATGAAGTTATCTGTTATTCGTATAACGTTTACTGATTGAACTTTAATCAGATATAAGTGTAAAGGTGAAGAATTATGTGAGGGTTCTTGCATTAGGGGAACCTAATTATTTAAGGGTTGAGCAAAAAAAAATTCACAACTTCGTAATCAACGTGCTTTTTTTTCTATCGCCTTTTTTTATACTCTTAATGCAGGTGTATACGACAAATAATCTATTTAATGAGGAAATCCAAAATGTTAATTTAATATATGTAACATGAAAGACATACGAAAAAAGAAGAAATATGCTATTAAAGTTCGGTTAAAATACGCAGTATGTACCACAACATGTATAAATTTAAAAATTAGAAATAAAAAAAAAAAATCGCGTCAGCGGATCACCCCACAGTTACTATAGTAATGCATTAATTGGTTGATTTACACAAATTGGCAAACTGTGAATAAAGTCTTATTTTATTTTCTAGTTATAAAATAAATTATTTTTAATCAACAATGTCATAATCGCGGCGCAGTAAATGAATTAATTACCTTTTTCTCGCCCAATTTATAATTATTAATAATTACAATTTTTTTAATTTTGTTCAATTAAGTTCAATTTTGGCAAATTGACGCATCTTAACATTTTGAAATATTATTTGCTATCAGATAGGTATTAATTATTTTATTAAATTACTATTTGTGTAATTATAATTAATTTTAAGACCCGAAGTTTTATCCATGTAAAATTTCATACATCTTAGCATAACGTGATCATTTATTTAATAAGAATAAGTATTTTTATGACACGAAATAAATAAAGATATGAAATTACTTTGAACGAATTTTCTCGATATATTTGATTCAAGATAATGAACTATTTTTTTTTGATTGTCAAAACCAATCAACTGATTATTTTTTAAATAATTACTATAATGTTTGACTCTATGCCTTAAATTGCTACTAATAAATTAAGAATTGAATTCAAAAAAAAAAAATATGTATATATATCCAAAATTATAATAATAATAATAATAACCCTAATTTTACATTTGATCTGTTAATTATCTTCCGAATTTAACGAAAATTTTTTTTTGATTAATAAATGAAAAAATTTTAAAATTGAAAAATAAAATCTTCTTTATGATGACTAGTGCCTCCGTACGGGTCGGGTTGGATCTGGTTTGAGGGGATGTTCGAACTCGACTCGAATTTTCGGGTCGGTCAACTATGTAACCCGAACTTGACTCGACCCGACTGTAATTTAACTCGAATAACCCGGGTTGTTCTGGGTCAAAGCAACAGTACGACCCTAACCCGACGGGTCGGGTCATGCGGGTCACAATTACCAATCCTGACTCGATTTAAAATCCGGTCTGGTCGATCACCCGGGTCTGACCCGACCCTTTCGGAGCACTAATGATGACCTACCGTAATTAATAGTATCAATACGTTTGATACTGAGTATAAAATTTCGGACTGGCATTTCTAATCGAGATTACCCTGACGCAACACCATCGAATCTTGGTGACGTAAACCAAAGATTATAAAAAAATTTAAAAAAAATTTTTGTCTCAATGGCTTGTATCTATCGCGGAAAGCCGAGAAAACGTCTTGGTCAATTTATAACGCATCTATTTATTACCTACACAACGAAACTTACCCTGACATCTCACAATCTTTCATCCAGAATGTTAATTGAATCACTCAACCGAGAATTGTCTCATTAATTGTAGGAAGCCTTCTACAAGTTAACGTTCACCCACGCCAGACAAAATCCTATTTGTACCCTTAAACAAGAGAAAGAAAGTACTTATCTTGCCTGCTCCCTAGGACGACCTCTATCACAAACTTTACACGGTTTAACAGGAATCATGGGTTATTCTCGTAACATTCGAGCGCATGCCTTATACTCTGAAACCTTTGGCGCATCAAAGGTGAAGATATCGTTCAAACAACCAATATTCAAACTCCCTCCCTCTTGGTTGACAAAAACAATTCCTTTCGCTAACATGATATTGTACTATGAACGACATTAACAACATAATTGACACTTTGCCAAGTCGAGTCTGTGAACACTCGCGAATTGTTGAAGTGTAATAATCATACCATGCTCCTAAAACACGTCGAGCCAACCTAAAAATGTCTGAAAGGTTGTATCTACTTTGGATGGAGATGACGAATAGGCTTTATGCAAGTGTCTTGAATCAGTCCAATGAAAATAAAGGCACAAGTAAAATTTATACCTTTACACGTTATTCCTTATAGTATCAAGCGTCATAATAAATACCATGCCCGTCTTTGTTCTTTAGCTTCATTTTCGTATTTATCTGATCAAACCGATGGTGTGAATTCCAGGGTTACTCTCAGTGGTTTAATAATAACAGTTATTATGGTGATTGTTCGAGAAAGAAAAAAAAAGTATTACCATTGCTGTCATAAAAATGTAAATTAGTATATACAGAAATAAATTGATGACCGTTTCTTTGAATGATACTCACAAGAAATTACCGCATATAGTGCATCTAATTACAAATCGAATAATAATCGTAAACATGCCTTCGGATATAACGATGCAGAGCAACAGATGGAATCTAAATAACCTACATGTCCGATAAATACTAAGTAAAATGTTTTTTTCCATAAAATTCCAGACTCTGCCTCTTTCGAATTCCCTTTAGTAGTTTCGCTTATATCTCTTCGAGCATGAATAATGATCTAGACGAATTCGTACACGTCTTAGAAAATTTTCTCCAAGTTTCAAAATGCTAAAATTTTTCTTTGAAGCCGCGAAAAATTAGAACTTTTGACGCTATTACGGCACACTACTGCTCGACAACAGCGTTGGTCGCATTGTGAAAGACACAAAGATTTTTTGCTGTTCAATTAGTAGAGCAGCATCTGAATTCCAAGCTAAAATACGTAAAACATTTGCTGTAAGATTTTGGAGGGTTGGAATGCCTGAGACGGAAATATACGTCGTGGGCATTACTAACGATCGCTGCTATATGTGCCGACCTTTACGAACGGTTGAAATGACTTCCAAGAATAATAATAAGCAGTATAAATATTAACTGAGCAAGTATTAAACGCGTCATTTAATTTAAAAGATCTTGCCATGTTCTGATTTTGGTAATTGACCACCTTTTCTATTTCTATGTACAGTTAGTTTACTTTCTCAATTCAAAAATAAATTTGAAAAAAAAACTACAAATCCGCTTAATATTTTTTCTGATGTTATTAAGAAATTTTATCTCGGCTCGAATAGATAAAAAATAGGTAATTACGCTTTATTGTAATAAAATTGTGTTTTTTATTATATCATTGAATAAAAATAATTAATAATGTAGATGAAACCGTTATTAAAGATATTATATTTTTCTTGGAGTGGACAATTTTCACATTGTTGGATGCTTCTCTTTAACTGAGCTAGGCGGTGGAATGGAAGCTACTGCTATATATGATGATGATGATGATGATGACAGAGTTTATCATTAATACACCGACATTGTTAGTTCAAAATATTGGATCACAAACCTAAGTTTTTCAAAATGTTCAATTTTTTTTTTCAATTTTTAAAAATGAATAGGTTATTTATAATTAATTTAACTCCTATTTAAATATTTCTTGGACTAGTCGGTTATTTATGCAAAATGAGTTATTGTGGCTAAGAATGATGAAAGAATACGATTCTTGTCAGAAAACTTGTCAAAAATTCGCGAGAAAACGTAATTTCATGTTTCTAAACATTTATTTTGGTATTTCTACATTTCCGATTGATCTTATTATTTATTTATAGTATGAAACCTTCAGAAGGCGTCATAATTGAAGAAATGGAGTAATAATCGTATGTGTATTTCTACCATGCGAATTTAGGGCAAATTGTAAGTTTTCTTACGTCGCGTTATAACTTACAGGGAGTTTCTTCAACTAAAACATCATTTACGCGATACATAATCTTTTAACATATTTTTATGACAATGGCGATAATCGTCGTGGGTACGTAATTTATGATTATCATATCTATATATGTTATTTTAAACGATTTTTTGAAAGTCGCGGATTAACTTTTTCTGCATCTGTATATTGGGAACATTGTAGTGGATAAGCATCAATAGGTTTAGAAGCTTATTGATCATGAGATTAGTAAATCATATGATGTGATTTTACTGGCAACGCACCCTTACTCAAATCTTGCGATTGTTGTGACTGTTCAACTATTAATTCGAGAGATCATTAAAGAAGTTGCTCCCTATCGCATGCAACTTGTTGATGCTTTAGAGTTGATCCACGTATATTTTATGCATCAATTGCGAAAGATTTGGCAAAGTATAACGAAACCGATAATCAAAGGTATGAATATTTTATTTTATTATGATTTCAAGATCTTAATTTTTTTTAACTACCTAGGTGAAATCAGTAAAGGATATCTCGGTCAGAATAAAGGCCAAATTATGATCATCAATAATTAGAAATATTGACCATTTATTAATTTCTAAGTTCTTACTTTATAATTAATAAAAATTTTAATTGAAGATAAGTGATCAAGAAACTACCTTATAATTAACTTACTATAAATGCACGCATTGTGAATTTCCTTCCAAAATTAAATTCCAAACTAATTCATTCATCTTCCAACTGTTCTAGAAACAACCTTTTATAAATAAACTATATACAATTCTTCTTCAAAATGTAAAATAAATCCTAACTATATACAAATTCTACACCAAAATGTAAAATAACCCTTATATATTCAACCCTACTATTTGGGATAATGGTAAAAGAACAATTCCCTCCTTTTAAGCGAGCTGGCAACCATTTTCACTGTTGAGAAGATTTTGGAAATAGTCACATCATAATTATAACCTACGGGTGAGTTTCCAATTCCACTTCCGAAAATTATTAAATTCTCGAGACGATTCTGATTGCGAATTAGTGATACAAATGATTGTTGAATGGCCAATTTATGCAAATTATCTTAAAAGGTAATTAATGTAATTTAGTTTTAAAAAAGGCCTCAAACAACATTTAAAAAATATTGATTTTTTCTATCATAAATCACAGGTAAATAAACGCGTGTTGTCCATTTATTTATTAAATTAAACTTGGATAGATGATGCCAAAAAAAAAAGAATATTTGGAGAAGGTAGCTATCAGTCTGTTTAGAGCGTGAATAAAGAGAAATGTCACTACAATGTTAGAACATTCATATTAATGATATAATAATTTCAAGCAATAATTTAATACCCACCAAATCATTTCTCCATTTTCATCTCTTATTAAGAAGAGAACGAGTAGAACCAAATGGTTTTTGATATCCCGCCGTAAGTTACTCTTCATTCTCTTGGAACCCTTTTTTTTGTCTTTCTCGTTTTCCTTACGCGTATTTACGAGGCCGGCTTCTTTTCCAAAAAACTTGGACGTTTAATTTTAGTTATTGAAGTATACTATGTAAATCTAAAAAACGTTCTAATGTTGATTTCTCGTGTGACAATACTTTCATTAAAATACAGCTAAAATGCTTTTTTTTTTCTTGACATTTATTTCCCTTTTCTTTTTTTTTTAAAAAAAAAGAATAATAATAAAATATTTAAAATAATGTTAATTAAATTATAATTTTTGTCAGAATTATAAAAAATCAAGGCTGGTACTTTGAACCCTGCCCAATGCAGGCCTCTAAGTCAGAGGATTATTTTTTCCTAACGTTTTATATTAACTATATCATCAATGTATACCAGCATTAGTAGGGATGGTAACGGTCGGTCGTAGTCGGTCAACGGTCGGTCAGAAGCCTATATCGGTCACGGTTACGACCGATTATGACCGTGACCATTAGCATCCCTAAGCATTAGCATATATCATGATCAATAATGTATTATTCTGATTTCCTAATTAGAGAAAAATAAATCTCAAATTGATTTGGTCAAATCAAAATTCAACTTATGAACTAAAGGTGTTAATTACCAATGAAAATCAAACGTTTGAGCTAGCAAAACAATGTTTCAAAATATAATGAATTTCGAGGCGTGCAACGTCAAATTATCTCATGAACAATTTATCTAATTGTTGTTGCGTCGTTACGATATGAAAAAAAGTTTTAATGCTAAATGTTTATCAGAACTTTTCCAATTTGCTCAAACCCTCCAATTTCTCGAAGATCGCTAAAATATCGATAATCGTAATATTTAATATGCTAGTTACAAATATCTCCTTTAATACAATTAACCCACTCATTCAAAAAAATCGTGTTATTATTTATGATTTCTCATTCAACTTTTTAATGTGCTACATCCCCGATTAAAATATCCGACCTTGTCGATCTTGGCGACGGAGATTATTGTGAATGAAGTATTGAAGACTTTCTTCATCCTAAACAACCATTTATGGTATAATTACAAACTAGGAAAAGGGTACCGTTGTGGGTCGAGTCCGGACAATTGAAAATTAAAAGCAAACTACAGTCACTCTGCAACTGGTAGAACGCCTAAATTATCAGAAAGAGATATCAAACATCTTGTAAAAATTGTTTAAAGTAGATCACCAATAAACAACACAATAACTTGTATAGTCCTAGTTTTATAAAGCTACGTATTGACGAACACGGTTAATCTTGTAAAGTATTACATAAGGCGCAATAAAGTTTGAGGATATTCATAAGAATTAGAAATGCCTGAGGCGTAACTTAACGAACGACCACCACCTTTGTATTTGAATGCCTATAGTTGCGAGACAAAACCCTAAACCCATTTCGGCAAAAGTCGAAACTTTTCAGAAATTCGAGTTTCGATAACAACTTTGCGAATTTGACGGTTTTAACAGGTTTATTGGATCACACTGTAGAAGATAAAAACGATTTTTTTTTTTTTTGCTTTTTATTTTAAATTAGAACAAAGTTTCCAAAATAATACAATTTGGAAGCACTGGTACTTGTTGAAGAATCAGAAAAATTACCTTATGAAGAAGATGATAGAGGTTTATTTTTATATCCGGATTTATTTAATTTTTAAAAATCGTATCCGGATTTAAATCCGAATTATCGAATCTTTATTTCAAAAACCGTACAGATCAAATAAATTTTTTAAAGATACATATCATATATCGGCGCTGTTACATGATAATATTACGATCTTGGCGCTTTTAATTTATCTTTATAAAATCCTATAAAAAGATAAACTTCAATGCTAGTCATAATAGATGAATCGCTCTAATTCATTGTGCTGCATGCGAATCCGGTTTTGTGCTTTGTATCCGGATTTAAATTCGAATTAGATATAACTGGGTTTAATTCCGAATTTCGAATCCTTTTTCAAATAAAAGTTTAAAGGATGATGAAGAAGAATACTGTCATGAATTTAAATGAAGAAAATATGGGAGGTAAATTAATTCAATTCAATATGTAAATTTTTTGATTTTTTTTTCTTATTCTTTATAATATATAAATGTATGATATTATAAAGAAAGTGATCTTTGCTATATACGATTTGCTCATCTCGTAAAACAAAAATTTTAAATTTTAAATTCAAAATTGTATTTTAATATCAGAAGATTTCGATGGGTTTTGCCATCCGTCGAAACTTTCGAAATTTTGCCTTTAATAAAAATATTTGGCAAAAACGTTTCGACGGGTTTTGATTTCGACGCCTGTCGAAACCTCCGAGTTTTGCTCGGCAACCTTATTGATGCCGAAAGAAATCGCCTAAAAACCGGTCTAAAAGAAAAAGAAAAAGAAAAAAATATAACATAAATAAAATAAAAATAAAAGTCTTGCCACAGATCTCATGAATCCGAAAGAATCTAAAAAAATAAAAAATAAAATAATTGATAATTAAAAAAAGGATAGATAGAAATTAAACCAAAGGCGAAAAAAATATTCAATCACTCCTGAAAACTAAAAAACTTAAAAAGAAAAAGGCGCAATATTTTTGGAAAATATCAATTTTTTTAAAAAAAATATATATATCTTTAATACTCTTTTATTTTAACTAACTTTTTCCTTTATAATTAAATTGGAATGATTAAGAAATCTAATAAAAGATACATTAAGGAAGAAAAATCATATAAAAATTAAAAAATTTCTTATTTGTCTAAGATAAGCTAACAATTCCTGATCGTGGCTGTCGATTAAATTATTTTCAGCAATCAATTCGACTTTTTTTTTAATTTCCGGATTCGATCGCCTCAGGCTATAGCGATTGAACGATATTTCCAAAAATCTTTGCACACTCTTTCTTTTTTTTAGATCCTCTTCGGATCGGAAAACTTACGCAGTATCAGGTGAGTCAGTTTTTTTTTTTTTAGTTACGGGTCGGGGCGCACTAATCGAGAGATTTCGATTTCTTTTGATTTCATTTTTTTATTAAATGATTTTTTATTTCATTTTTTTTTTAGTCGGTTGGATCACGAGATTTTTTTTTTTTAGTTTTCCATTTACAGGTTGGAAGTACGATATCGATAAAAAAAGGTTTACTATAAAAGGAATAAAAGGAGATGTGATTATTAGAAGGTTTCATATGATTATTTGATTAGCCAATCAAAATAAATAAAAAATTTTCCTGAAAATTTCAGTTTTTTCTTATTTAAAAAGTTGATCCCGAATGTCAATCATTCCGATATATAAATTACTTTCCGCAAAACTTTTTTTTTTCGTTTTTCTATCTTCCCTTTTACACACGTTCAATTTCAAGCCTTCAAGCTCTCATTTTATTTTACCCTTTTGAATTTCTTTCAACTTTTTCAACTCTTTTTCAACTTTAATAAATATATATCGTAGCTCTAACGATGGAGAATGATTATAAAGAAGTGTCTGCTATAAAGTAAGTTTTTCATTTAATTTCATGCTGAATATTTAATACAAACGGTATATAATTGGTTTAGAAGAATACTTGTTTCTTGGTGGATTATTCTCTTGACTTGCTTGTAAAATTTTTGCGTCCATTGTTCACTTTTGAAGTGAAGTACTATTCTACTTATGATATACTCGTAAAAATCAAAACTATTTCACTTAATTGCGAAAAATATTTGGTATTTTATTTCTAACAATATTTTATTATTTTTATTTTTTTTAAAGAATTACTTATAAGGTTATGGTCTACGTCAAGAACATGACTGCGGCAGATTGCAAAGTTTTGCAAATTGTAAAAGTAAAAGCGCTTAATACAGGCAGTATTGAGACGTAAATTAATCAAAAACGCCTAATATGAAGTATAATGGCAGTTTAGAAGAGGTTGAGTCTCCTATACTCAACATGGATTTTGATTTTCCAGAGCTTTTAAATGAATCATCTTTACAGATTAAATTTAAATACATACGACTATTAACCATTTATACCATTTACACCACCAACACCATTTATACCATCACCAACTCCGTCCCCACCTGTTAATACGCGTAAGGATAACGAGAAAGACAAAAAGAGGCTCAAGAACAAGGAACTGATCCGAAAAGTAAACAGTCCGAAGCAAGTTAAACTAAATCGGACCGAGGGTTCCAAGAGAATGAGGAGCAACTTACGCATTGATATGGTGGGTTTTAATTTATTGCTTGAAATTATTATATTATTAATATGAATGCTTGACTAACATTGTAGTGACATTTCTTTTTTTTCACAGACTGCCTTACATCTCCAAATATTCTTTTTTTTTTGTTTCTTCAAAAAAACTCTTGTGATTTTAGAGTTAAATTTAATAAATAAATGAACAATACGCGTTTATTTACCCGATGATTTTTGATAAAAAAATCAATATTTTCCTTCCCTAAATAAATTCCTCTCCTTTATAGTTGTAATATTCTTAATATTTAAATTTTGATGGTTTCAAGTTTATGATTATACTATTTGTTTATAATATAAACTTTTAGTTAAATTTACATAAAATAAAATAAAAATTATATTTATTAAAGTTGCCAATAAAGAAATTACATTACATATTTTATATTGTGCGATCCCACTCACTTTTAAATGGCCTACTTCAAATTAATATTCCTTTTAATTTCACAAAAAAAAACGTCATCAAAGTTTGTTCATTTTCATTTTCGTTGGCTTTTATAGCTTATTCCGTTAAATCAAAAGACATCATTATACAGTATCTATCGAAACATCAACAAATAAAAACTACTACCAAATGATTTGCAAACATATTATGAAATAGAGAAAAACAATAAAAAAGTAAGGAATGGATCTTAATTGATATTTTCCAAAAAAAAAAAGATCTTTTCCTTCATCTGAGTATTAACTATTAATTTACTTAGGTAAGTGCCTGAATTTAATTAGTCTCTGTCGAATCCCAAAGATACTAATGAATTTATTTTCTTGTATATCGGCATTCTTCCATTTCGGATTGGCTACCTTAAACCCACAACGGATGACCCTTTTCCAAGAATAATAATTAAAAGAGCGTTCAAAGTAAAGAATCATGAATTCATAGTTACTTGAAGTACTAATTCAGGAATAATCTCTATACTCGTTTTCATAATTGGAAGTCAACCATCAAAGGCATATTCACATGTTTGAACGTATCTCTCAAATCCTATTTCAAATTCATCATTCCTAGCAGATGACCTAAAGTATGAAAATTTTAATGTCAATTTCATTAAAGTGGTAACGGAAATATTGTATTTTGTATACGAATTGTTCACTAACCAATATTCTGACATCAATCTTAAAAGGCGCCAATCATACTAGGTACATAATTTTATGACCTGATGTGTCTATCGACGCTTAATTGTTTCAAAATAAGCACGCTCACATTCTACTGATTTCCCTGTAAAATAAATGTCAATTTAAAATAATAATAAAATGATATGATAAATATATTGAATATATGCATTTGCATGTTAATCTTATTTGTATCAAGCGTCCATAACAAATACCATGCCCGTCTTTTTTCTTAGCTTCATTTTCATATTTATCTGATCAAACCGATGGAGTGAGTTTCGGGTTGCTCTCAGTGGTTTAATAATAATAGTTGTGATGGTGATTGTTCGAGGAAGGAAAAAAAAAAGGATTACCATTACTATCAAAAACCTTTTTTATTATAAAATGTAATTTAGTATATACAGAAATAAATTGATGACAGTTTCTCGGAATGATACTCACAGCATATCTAATTACAAATTGAAATAAATAGTCCTTTGGATATAACGATCAAATGGAGTTTAAATTATAATACGTTCGAAAAAGTTGAAAATGCTCTTTCCATATAATTCCTCAATAACACAGGCTCCGCCTTTTTCGAATTCTCTTTAGAAGTTTCGCTTATATTCTCTTCTAGCATAAAATAATGATCAAGAGTATTCGTAAAGATAAAGAGCATGATGAAATGTCGATTAGTACATGACATAGCGTACACATCTTGGAAAATTTTCAAGCTTTGAATTAAATTTATACTTACGTCTCTCAACCATGTCAATTTTTTTGAAGAATCCGCGGAAAGCTAGAACCTTTGACGCCATTACAGCACAATACTGCTCGACAACAATGTTGGTCGCATTCTTGACTATATTGAAAGAATTCTCAGCGACATAGATTTTGATGCTCAATTAGTAGAACAACCTCTGAATTCCAGCAAAATATTTGCTGGTAGTTTTTTGGAGTATTAAAAAAGATCATATTCTGATTTTGGTATTTGAGTTTTACCCCACCTTTTCTATTTCTATTTACAGTTAGTTTAGTTAGTTCACTTTCTCGATTCAAAATAATTTTTTTTTTAATATGTTTACCTTACAAACTTACATGGTAATTGACTGAACCAAATCCGCTAAATCTTTTATTCAAAAGTAATTAAATAAGCAATTTTATCTCATCACGAGATAGATAAAAATAGGTATTTACGCTTCCCCAGGTGAAATCACCTATGTGATATATAATGGGTGACAAATAGAATTTTTAGCAATAAAAATTTTTAAGTTCCCCGATTAATTATTAAAAATGAGAAATTGAGGAGTGTGACACATTGTGATAAATAAACCCTAATCCTAAACCTAACCCTAACTTGTATAAAAATCGGTTTCTCTTCATTTTTTGCATGATAAACTGTACGAGGATAATAAAAAAATTTGTCAACACCATCAGTTGCAAAATAGCTACACTTTGATTGGATAAGGTTTAGCGTGTTTTAAAATGTCGGGAGACAAGAAGTTCTAGATTTACCATTTTTCTTGACAAGTGCTCCTGTTGAAATCAAGATAAGGTCAAGTTTCTCAAAATTAGCCTCAATTAAAGACTAAAAAGATTATTGATGATTTTTACTCTGATTCAAAACAATAATACTTCTATTAAGACAAAATTAATAATTCTTTGTTTGACGCCTGCATATGATTGCATATGATTTCATGTTATTCATGGTTGGAAACAAAAATTTTATCATCACATTTTTTCAAGAAGCAAAGTTTTTTCATGGAACATTGTGATAAGAGTTTCTCCTCTGTGGGAATTATTCTTCTTTAAAGTATTCAAATATTAATAAATCCATAAATAGTTAAATTTGCCTATAAAAATGCGATTATATACGAAAATATATTCATAATGGTATAAAAATAGTTAGAGGTAATAAGCAAAAATTTCCATTAAATAGATTGGGTTTCGCTATTAAATTGACAAAATTGTAAAAAACCAAACACATTTTACACATTTAATCGTAATGTAACTATTCACATGATGAAAAAAATTTTATAATGACTTTCAAAAAAAACTATTTTCCATCACGAATTTTCACATTTCATCGGTCAGTTAAATGCCTTTGACTGGTTGATATCAGTAAGACCTTAGATAAACCCCACTTCACAAGACAGTATACTCATCATCTGAGATGCTCCTACAACAAATAAAGTTCACGCATTACATTTAAAACACCATCAAAAATAAAATTTCACATCAAACTTTATTTTCTCTCTCTTTCACATACAAAACAAAAAAAAAGATATATTTATATATATATATTTACAAGCTTTCATAAACCTAATGGTAAATATTATGTAAAAATCACGGCAAAATCGGGAGATCCCGAAAGTTTAGAAAAGTTGGTTAGTTGTGGGAAATTTTATGGAGATAGAATTCGAGTTCTAGTTAACATGAGAAATGCCTTAAAAATATACTAAGTGGCTGCAAAATTAGGTGATACAAGTTGGAGTTTGAGAAATCGGCTCTTCAAGGACTGAAACACAAGGTAGAAAACCTAATACAAATAAGGATTAGAAAAAAATTATTTTAACAATACTGTAATTCCGATGTATTCAGATTCTGACGACTTTGACTCCGATAAATTGAGTTTAAAATTTTTAAATTTCGAGTTTAACTCTCACTCATTTAATATCAAATGTTCAGTATAATGATATTTATTTAACTTGTAAATAATAAAATATGATTTTTCACAGCTAGTTACTATTACATTGAATATAATTACTCTATAAATTTGTATGTAAATTGTTTCACTTTTTTATAAATATAAAAGTATTAGATCACATGATTATACTCAAATTGGTGTAATTCATATGATAAAATGTATATGTGTTATTATGCAACCTCCTACTATAGAAGAATGGACTTTAGTTATATCATAACTTCCTAATGATAAGGCTGCTGGTCTTTCAGAGATTCATAATGAAATGATTAAACACTTAGGTTATAATATATAATGCTTTCTCTAAAAACTTATTAAAATATGTTTTGAATTTAGTGATATCCAGTAAAATAGAAAATAGCCCATGTGTATTCAATTCTTAAACCTGTAGATTGGGATTGTAACATTACAAAAACTTGTCCTATTACTTTATTGAAGACCACTAAAAAAGTTTTTGTAAAGATTATTACTAATTGTCTTTCTAAAACACTTGCTAAACATAATATCTTAAAAGATAATAATTATACCAGTCTTCCTGGAGAATCAAAAGAGAATCCTATTAAGATAATAAATATGATTATAGAGGATGCTGTAGAAAATAAAAAAGATTTATGAATTCTCTTACAAGACTTATCTAAAGCTTATATAAAGTGAATCTAAACATTTTTAAACTTGCATTCAAAAGAATTAAAATTTCAGAAAATTGTATTTCCTGTTTAATCAATTTATTTAAAACAGAAAAATGCTATTTTTACTTAAGATGGCTTTTCAGATTATTATGATGTTAAGATTAGCATTGATCAAGAAAAAGTCATATCACCTCTTCTATAATATATATATTTTGACTTTTTTTTTGTGAAATTGATAGCCTTAATAAAGGTTATACTATAGATCACTCTTGGATTTCTAATGTTAAAGATATGACTTTATCTTCATTATCAGCATAAATCTTAGCTTTAGGTTACATGAATAATTCAAATTGGCTTGCATATTCTAAGAAGAACTTAGAAGACATATAAGAAGTTACTGATGAATTCTATTTTATCACTAAAGCTGTCATTAACAAATCAAAATCACAATTGTTAACAAATACAATCACAATCTCATAACCAATACATATTAAATTTGAATCTATCATGATAAATATCAAACCAGAACTTAGATCTATTCATTTCTTAAGAGTCTAGATTAATATATTTAATTTAAAATATTTTATCAAGAAATAAACCAAGAATACTATCACCAATTTCACTATGATCCTTGAATCAAAATCACTCATAGATAAACAATTAATTTATATACTTAATATAATATTTTTTTCATTATTAGAATATTATTTACAAATTACTTCATTATCCTTCAATAAATGCAATTCCTATAAGAAATTTGTATATAGAATTAATATGAAAATAATACGTTATTAATACGTTTTTAGTAATTCTGTATTACCATTCCATAGATTTAATATTGAATTGATTTTTGCATATTTTTTAAAATTAAAGTATATGAAAATTATATAGAATTATTAAATATTTAATTTATTTAATTTGATAATCAATTATAGTTACACAATTAATTTTACTAATGATCAATTTTCCAATCTTTTTTTAGTATCAATTTTCCTTTTTGAACCATTATATATTTTTTTTTTAAAAAAAAACAACTTATATATTTAACATAATTTTTAAAAAAAAAATCTTATTTTTTAAAATTTAAATACATGAACTTATAAGAATTTATTAAATATACTTTTTTTTATTTGTAGATTCTAATTTTTATATTTATTTAATATCTTTTT